TGTGTCTAGTGCAGCAGAAAGCATGGTTATATAAATATCTCTGTGGTATATTGCCTTTCAGTCCTGCAGGTGTTGCCTGGAAGTACAGACGGGTCATACAGTAGTTTCACTTTTAGTTTTACAATAAGTCTCCATACTGATATCTTTAGCAGCTGTACTAACAATATATAAGGCGTTTCCACATTTCCCATATCCTTGCCAGCATCATTCTCCTCCCTTGTCTTGAAGACAGCTGTTCCTAAAATCACATGGAACTTAATGTAAGAGCTTAATGTAAGACCTGAAACTGAATCTTCTTGGAGAAAACAAAGATAATACAGAAACTAGAGAGTCAGAGTGGACTTTCTGCAAATGACTCCAAAAGCACAGGGAATCACTCTGAGAATCCACAAATGGGACTGCAAAAAGTTATACAGTGTTTGCACTGCAAAGGGAATAACTTCCAAATCAAAGAATGGACTATAGGCTTGGAAAGATTCTTGGCCAACTATATGTCATACAAAGATACTTGCTGGCAAGAGTTGAATTAATTTTTGTACAGGGGAAGAGACTAGAACTAGCCCTTGTCCTTCTACATGTGGGTATCTAGTTTGTCCAGCATCCCATGTTGAAGAAGCTCCTTTGTTTTTGTTTTCAATTTCTACAACTTTTATAAAACATTAACTGGCTACAACTGTGTGGGTTTACTTTGGGGGTCTTCCATTCTATCCCATCAGTTTACAAGTGAGCAAGCTATTTCATGTTTCCCAAAGTCAACTTTTTAGTTTTGAATTTACTATTTACCTTTGAGAAGCAATAGTCCTGACTCTTAACTCCACTGCCTCCCTCGCTTGCCTACCTCTCCAGCACTGGTTCACGGTATCATCTCCCCTACCTACAGACTGTAATGTGCTTTCCCATATCTATATTTCATTACCTACTTCTATCTATTCTCCATGTTCCACAGAGAATGGCTTTTTCTTGACTTCTACTCACATCATGGTCTTGCTCACAGTCCTCCAGAGGCCCATCTCCAGAGAATAGAATCTGAACTCAGAAGAATCCACTGCCACAAGATCTTCCTTGATATGGTTGCCTGACCACCATTCCCAAACATTCTCTGTTATCTCACCACTCCTCTAGCTAAACCTGCACTATGTGCACTTCCCTGATAAGAAGATACTCAAGCTCCTCTGGTTATTTGTCCTATTTCCATTGTCCATTTGCCTTTGCTGTGTCTACTTCTGTTTTGTTTTGTTTTCTTTTGTTTTGTTTTTCGAGACAGGGTTTCTCTGTATAGCCCAGGCTGTCCTGGAACTCACTCTGTAGACCAGGCTGGCCTCGAACTCAGAAATCCACCTGCCTCTGCCTCCCAAGTGCTGGGATTAAAGGCTTGAGCCACCACTGCCCGGCACTGTGTGTACTTCTACAAACAAAAGAATCACTTTCTATAACAACTATGATCAAATATCTTCACCCACTAGGTCCCCTCTGCTCCCCAACAGTGAAGGTTGCTCTCCTCGATGCACCCATTACAATCCTTGCAGCACATGTGCCACACTTAATCTGTTACTTTGATGTGCTGGGAATCTCCTGGTCTTTGTATCCCTAATGTCTATGAATATATATGGAGCAGAGGATGACGGGAAAATGAAGGCATTAATTAATACATATGCCTTGGGGAGGGCTATGTTGAATAAGTGCCAGTGTGGGAAGGCTGAGAAAACAAAGTGGAAACCAAAATGTAGAAAAGGATATGTTAATCAAAGTGTTAACAAAACATCCAAGAACCATGGTGGCCAAGTCAGGGTGGATTTAAAACACAAAGATGACAATACCACAGTCACCTAAATTAAGAAAAGAAATGTACTAAAAGTCAAGTGTAAAATGTTTAAAGGTGTGACACAAGAACAGGCTCAAAGCAGAGGCAAGAAGGTCTGAGCACTATTTAATGAACTAGCACAGGATTGTCAGGAGCCAAAGTTGCCCAAGGGGGAAACGGGGAATATGGCACCAGGAGAGTGTCTTCAAGACTGTAGCAGCTACAGTTAAGACTAGTGCACTCTTCCTGCAAAACACTTTAGTCTTAATATCTAGAACTGCAGAGGGAAGTTCCTTGTTCCTCTGCTCACTCCTAGCTGGATTTCAGAAGCAATTTCTCTGATTGAAGTGGAAGCAATTTCTCTGATTGAAGTGACCTCAAACTCCAGAGCCTCTGTTTATTCTTCCTCACCAAATACAGCTCTTATTTAAAAAAATAACTTTAATCTGAACCTATTTCCTTCTTGTTATTATAGATTCATTTCACATGCATAACAGCCAGGTCCTCTTAGAAAAGGAAAATAACCCATATCTAGCACTGTGGTGGCTATTCCTGGTTGTCAATTTGACTATATCTGGAATGAACAACAATCCAGAATTGGAGAGCACACCTGTGATCCAGGTCTTGAGGCTGGAAGACACAAGTTTCTGACCTGGATCTTGATGTGGAGATCTTGAAATATCGGGAACATGAAAACCTTAGGCCCAGATGAGGTAGCACACATGCTTAATCCCAGGAGACTGAGACAAAGAGAAGTCTGAGTTCAAGGTCAGCCTGGGACAAAGCAAGTCTCAGATCCAGGCATGTTGGTACACACCTTAATCTGGGTCCCGCCTTCTGCTGGAGGCCTACATAAGGCCATTGGAAGAAGGAATAGTCACTCTTCTTGGACTGCTTGCACTTACCTGCCAGCACATCTGTTGAAACCTACTTCTACAGAAGATCAGCTTAAACAACTAGCCTCGTGGGACTGAGCAACTACTAGATTCTTGGACTTCGCATCCACAGCTGCCCATTGTTGGGTTAGTTGGACCACAGACTGTAAATCACCACAATAAATTCCCTTACTATAGAGAGACATTCCATACGTTCTGTAACTCTAGAGATCCCTGACTAACACAAGCCCCTTCCCACACGGCATGCTCGTATAAGTGATTTCTCTGTCTCCCTTCTTGACTCACCTCAGCAACCCAGTGGTGTGCTGCGTTAATGACAGCAGGAAACATCGCGTGGGAACATTGAAGTAAAGCACCAGAAAGTTAACATCCCCGCATTACCAAGTTAAATAAGTGACAGAGGTAAAATTCAAGGATTCAAGTCTACATCTGTCTGAACTTATATCTCATCTTCTTCCCATAGTTCATTCTCTCTCATAACTAAGGGTTTTAGAGGACTCATGAGCCCAAAGAAAGTCTCTTCATTTCAGGACAGGATGACAACCCTAACTCCAAAGTCCAGGCACCAAAAGCAAGTGATAAATACTGAGACTGAGTATTCAAGGTGAGGCGAGCTAGACTAGTCGTATGTTCATGAATAGCCCGAAGATAGGGGCAGGGTCAAGGAGAAGCAACCTGCTTAAGGAATCAGTTCAACTTTTCTACTTCTTAACAACCAATGGGAAAGCTAACATTCCCCTGTTTAACTAGTGCCAGGAGCTGCAGATCAGAGAAAAGAAGGTAACAGTGCTGCCAGCTCAGAATCAGCACACATGAGGTGGTCGGGCTGTGAGAGCCAGATGAAGAGAAAACAGAAAGTGAGCTTTCCCGAAGGAGAGCCATGGGCAGCTCTGTGAATGCCCAGCTCCCTGGCTACACTGGCTGTGCCCAAGCAGCACTGCTGCCAGAGACCAGCAACTTCTAGAGCAGAAGTTGACAAGTGTGTGCTCCTACTAGAGATCAGGACTTTCTGATCCCTTACGTTTTCTCTCCCGGTCTAGAAGGAACTTTTTGACCAGCTTTAATTTTCTGATTCGCTTCACTCCTTGTTCTTAGGCCTTTGCTGGGTTTATGAAGCATGCTGGCCTGCCCTTATATGGCCGAATCCTAGTCTTGGCGTTTCTTATTATTTCCTGTATACTTCATTGCAATTCAGAGTGTGTCTAAGCTAGCTAAACTCTTTAAAGTTTAATCCTTCAAAAGAGCATGACGGAACTAGGGCAGTTTTTTTTGAACACTGCATTGCTTCAGGACTATCAGAGAGGAGGCCGTTCTCCCTCAGTCATGTTTTATTCTACAGGGCCTTCCGAACAACTGCTTTGCTTCTTCTGCCAGGGTCAATGCAGCAGCAGTGGACACAGAGATCAGGGGACAGTCTACCCACAAAAGCTGATTGGAGTTGTGGGCCACAGCACTCCTGAAAGAAAAACAGCCAAAGAGCCTGTTAATTCTCCTGAACACATATCATTATGGTACCTCCCAGAGCAAGAGATGGGTTTGGGTTTGGGGAGGGAGTCTATAGACAGAATATCCAAAGTTCCTGTCCATAGGTAAAAGAGGGGTGTGTGTGTGTGTGTGTGTGTGTGTGTGTGTGTGTATTCTCTCTCAGAATACCGGAAAGGATCATATAAACTGAGACATAAGATCTTAAAATGAACTCAGGAACATGGAGGCAAACAGAGGCTATCTACAGAAAAGACCTAAGAATGTTCCACATGCACCCAGTGAAGGGAGGGAGGAACACGGAGAGGCGGGTAGAGGGGGAGAGCCAGAGATAAAGAAACATAGTGACAGGGACAGAAGAACTTGAGCAAAAGAAACCCTTTATCTTATGGCAAACATCAAGGAAGAGAACAGTAAAGAAACACGCAGGCAATCACAAATCTCAGATATTCGGAAACAAGCCAAAGACAAACTCGAGGGGCAGAAAGTCAGCCAGGTCCGATGAGACTCCACTGGAGACTTAAAGAGGACCCACTGAGAAAGAGACACGCAGGGGCGTCCAGGGCCACACGGGACACCGGCGAGTCCTGTGCCCGGTTCTCTGACGCGGCTCCCTGGTGATTCCTGCCGGGGTTCTGTCCCTGGACGGCCCCGGGGTGCCGAGGGTGCAGCTCAGTCCCGCGGAGCTCGCTCTTCCCTGCTCTGCCCGGAGCTGCCCCTCCCCCGGGAAGGTGTGTCCCTGTTTCCTCACCTGAAACTTCCTTAGGAGAAGCCGGTCCCTCCCTCCCGTCCGGCGGCAGGGGCGGGCCGCGGGTGGGGCGCCGGGGCGGCCTGGCCTGGCTGGGGACCGCGGCGGGCGCCCGGACCTGGAGGGGACTCTCGGGCCAGCCCGGGACAGCATGTGACTCCGACCAGGTGGGTGCTCTCCTCTCTTGTCAGCCCCGGACTCTGGGTGGTCGTGGCGCCGCGTGAAGGTAAGGCAGGGGCGGGAAAGAAGAGAGAACTAGGCCTCCCCGGGGACCAGTCCCAGGCAGGTCCCGGGGCGCAGGCTCCGGAAACGGGGGGCTGGGCCAGTGGGCCGGCCTCCGAGTGAGGGGCTGAGTACCTGGTCGGGAACGGGAAGGGAGCCGGAAGGAATGGCCTCTTGGAAAAGTTTGCTTTCCAGCCAGGTCTGAGCCTTGGAAATGGGCACCCTGCCCCGCGATGTTCTCGGGCCAATAATCAGAACTTTTTTCCACCCTGAAAGTCGGGGCCCGGGGAAAGCTAACTCCTATGATAAAGAATTCTTGAGATTCAGTTTCTAGACGATTCCTTACCTGGAAGTGTCTTTTTTTTTTTTCCTCTCTCTGTCTTTCTTTTTTGTAACCAGGCCTGGGCCTTGCTTCGTTATCTTCGCGGCATTTATGTGCCTACGTATGTGTGAATCTGTGTACACACCTCTCTCCGCTGTTAACTAAGGCTTTGAAATCTGAAGCGGGGATCCTTGCGCTGAGTTCCGTCTCCCCCGTATACCTGGATATAGGGAGTTTCTTATTGGCCTCGGCACAAGGGTCTTAGGAATGTAAAAGAGCTGTTCGGAACAGCCAGCTAGATCGCGGGTGCAGGAGCCCGTTTTCAGAACCCTAGTTCGGGGCATCTTCTATAAATGCCTTTTAGCAGAACTGGTCAGGGAGAGCTTATCCTGGAGCCTCAGTTTTCAAGTTTTCATCCCCTCCGCTCACTCCCCTCCCCCTTTCCTGGATCTTGGGTTCTCTGGACAATCTTGTCCTCCTGTCGGCCTAGCAGTGAACTCTGGCCAGCACTGTGTCAGACTGAGGGGGAAGGGCACACCAAACAGGAGGGTTGAGAGGGTGGTTTTCCTTTCGGCTTCCTTCCTCCCTTGCTCTCCCACTGTGCTCCCAGCTTTACTTCAAAAGCACCAAGTCCCAGAGAAACAGCCCCCAGTGTGGCCTCTTCCTAGACTTCCTGCTTTATCTACACCTGGGGTATGCGAGCTTCTGGCTCTATCAAAACAGTTATCAATTGTTAACCAGTCTTCAGGTCTAAGATTGAAACCATGAACATTAAAAGAACATGGAGGGGGCAAGGGACAGCTTCTAAATTCTAAGTTTGTGGTAAAAGAGAGATGTAAGCATTGGAAGGAAGAAGTCAGAAGGGATGGATGTAAAGGGCTACCTCTTTTCAAAAGAATACAGAAATTGAAGATAAAGCCAAAGTTTTCATATATCCATTTTCCCTAGATGGTATGGTTGCCCATAATGTGGTTTGTCTAAAGTTGTGTGTGGTCACATTATAGACTTGTCTGTCTTTGGGATAAACAAGAAGACGTCATTTGTAGTGTCTGGAATAGTCACTTACTCTGGTGTGGACTGAAGTGGGATCTCCTGAGATGATGTTGAACAGAATGGTATAGATAAAAACAGGCGATAGACAGCCTCTGTTGTAAACAGGACCCTGTACCTGCCATGTGTGTAGAGTAAGCTGACCACTTGGAGTGTCTGTAAAGTATGCAGAAACAACGTCATTTGTGTGCCAAGAATAAACAAGTCACACCTTACCTGACTGGATGGCCCCACAGCCACCGGAGGGCCTGATGGCATAAGCATCCTCTCTTAAGAGTGTTCTTAATTTAAGACCATCTGGCCTCTAAGGCAATCCATGATATTTAAGGCATTACATTAGACAGTAGGTAAAAGATGCTTATTCCATTCTTTACTAGGTTGGTTGGACAAGTCAAAACAGCGGTGTCATACTCCACTTATTTTGGTGTCTTTGGAATGTTGAGGGTAGTAATGTCCAACACTGAATCAAGGTACATGTCTGTGTGGTGATCTTATGAGCTAAATGAAATGAAGAGGGCATCTTTTAGACTGAAAGTGGGCGATTTGTTTTCCTACTGTAGGCAGAAGTATAGATGCCATTGTAAATGCAGAAGCAATCCCAAGAGGTAAGGAAGGCTATCTTTGAAATCCTTTTACAACTGGTGATTAGAAATGAACAAGGGCTACAGTGTGGAGTCTCTGTGAGACTGGAGGTCTTACTGTGGTCTGCACTGTTCTGTTAATGGGGTGACTTGGAGCTTTGTCTATGAGGTCTTGAAGATGCGAAGTGTCTCAGGTCTGGAGAGAAAACAGTTCCCTGTGATGCTGTGCCCTGTCTCTCCCTGTGTGCAGATAGTGATTAGTCACCCCAGATGAGAAGGATATGAGGTTGTTTCAACTCTTAACGGAACAAGTAGTTAAAAAAATCTGTTTTACAGATTTCCTTTAGCTTCCTCCATATTCTAGCAGGGTCATGCCTGTTTGCATTGGATTATTAAGAGAGAATTAAGTATAAGAACTAAGGGTATGTGCTAACCTTGAGTTATAAACAAGTAGGTGGCTGGCTTTCTTCCTCTCTTCCCCCCCTCTCTCTTCCTCCTTCCCTCCCTCTTTCTTTCTTCTCTTTCTTTCTCTTTCTTTCTTTCTTTTTCTCTCTTTCTTCTTTCTTTCTCTCTCTCTCTCTCCCTTCCTTTCTTTCCTTCCTTCCTTCCTTCTTTCTTTCTCTCTCTCTCTTTCCTTCCCTCTTTCTTTCTTTCTTTCTTTCTTTCTTTCTTTCTTTCTTTCTTTCTGTGTTTTTGAGACAGAATTTCTCTTTGTAGTCCTGACTGTCCTAGAACTCACTCATTAGACTAGGCTGGCCTCAAACTTAGAGGTCTTCCTGGCTCTGCCTCCAGATTGCTGGGATTAAAGGAGCATGCCACTACCTCACAGTGACTACTGTATTTCTAAAAAGATAAAGAACATAGTTATGAGATCGCAGAAACAGACATGTAGTATATTCCTAGATCAGAACTGAAAATACCCACATAGCACATAGTGTATGTAGATGAAGTCTGGCAATGGCAGAAAGTCAGTTATAAATCCAGGGAGTCCTTCTTTTAAGGGTTTGATGATGTTGAGTGAGAAGGATCCAGACAGTACAGATGCTGGTGAGGAGAGATAACAGGGTTTGTCACATAGTTTTCTGAGGCAGGTAGGAGCAAGTTTCAGTCACCAAATACGTTATTTAACATGTGGCTGAGAGAACAAGGTCATATTATATGTCATTTGTACATTTTATATTTAAGGGCTAGGTAGAATAAATCACATACTGCTAGTTAACTGGAAAAGGATGTAAAAGTCCTTCAATACACGTGCATTTATGTTAATCACATATAGTTGCCCTATATAGATAGTATCTGCATCTGTGAGGTGACCAGGAACTTGTCACAGACCACATCTTCAAGGTGCCTAGGGACCTGCTTGTTTGGTTATGTCAGATTCTATTGCGTAGAGACTGCAAGGGTTGATTAAGTTGGTATGTGTGTATATACCACACACACACTTAGCAACTTAGCATGACAACAAAAGGCATTCTTACAGGTGGCTTTTAAACTACCTTTAAACCTGGAACAAACCAGAAAGTTGCACAGTTGGGTATAGTGAGGGTCCCACAGGCTGGCCCATGGTGTCCTCTCCTGTGTTGTGTGGTTGGAGACTGTGTACTTACAATAGACTCACATCAGGAGCCTTTGTTTCAGGTTTATATGTATCCTTTACTTAGGAAATGGAGTCTGTGGGCTTTCGTTTACAGTCTGCAAGTTGAGCAAAGTTTCTTGTTTCTAGGGATGTCTCTGCAGTCTTACAGTCTTCTATTTCTTTCCTACACATATTTAGCCTCTCAGATCTATGCCTGTACTTTCTATGACTTTTAAAGATAGCAATGAACTTTTTGTATTATGTTAGTTAATCTTCATTAGAACTGTGAAGGAAACAATGTCCCTATCTCTTATGGATAAGGAAGGGATATTTAAATAGATTAAATGATTCCTACAGTTGACTTAAATGGTAGCAAAGAATCATAAAGACAGAACTGAAAAGTACTCTCATAACTGCCCATCTTTTCCAAACACCATCAAACTTAAGGTAGAAAGGACTGCACAGTTAACATAGTAGAGGATGTGCGCTCACAGAGATGCCAAGATAGCTGGGAAATTTGACCATAAAACCGTAGGTAGTGGGGATTGCACAGTTCACACAGTAGAGAGTTCGCCCTCTTGGAGATCATGATACAGCTGGGAAATGCTAAAAAAGTTCTATGTGTTTTTCAGGAGAAGCAGAGAATTCTCTGGCACCAAATTCCAGCAGTAGAATACCACACATGAAGGCCCATAGCTAAGAGAGAGGGGGTGGAGGGCTGAGGGTGGAGGCAGGTGCTGAAATAGGAAGGCAAAGGCCAGATTGACTGTGTGTATGATCTTTGCTGAATTTTTGGGATTTATCTTAAGTCTAGTCAGAAAATATCAAGGCATTTAAACTATAAGTGGTATTTTGTGTGGAGAATGCACTGTAATGTGGAGAGTTTGGGGCTTGGCTGTGGGTATAAAGATATGTGAGTATAACTTGGAAAATCTTGTCCAGGAGGGGAACAAGCGATTTATTCTTTATGTTTAAAATATTTCTTGAGCACTTACTATGGGCTAATGTTGAGCTAGATGTAGGCAGCCGAACAAATCATGTCTCACACTGTCTGCCATTTTTTGGTGAGACTAAGGTTAAATCAGAACACATAATTACATAGTTGAAATGGTATAAATGCAAGGGAAAAGTGAAGTGATTTATAATTTCCTTTTTAATTACTTGAAATAGAACTGTAGTTTAAGCCCCTTGAGGAATTAGAAACCCAAAGCGTCAACCAAAACAGGATAATGGCATAACTATCAAGGAAAGTTCTGATGTGATTAGTGACAGCGACAACCAGCACCAGGTGTGATCTAGGGGATCCTGGCAGACTTCCAGCTATTGGAGCTGGTGAAGCAGGTGGCCGGAAGGGTCTGAAGACAGCACATAGGCAGAACTCGGTTTAGCTATTCAGAAGGTGTGCTCTGTTGGGAATGCATAGATACGACTTAAGTGGTTAGAGCACTGGTCCTCAGCCTCTGGTTTCAACCTCTTTGTGGGGTATTGAATGACCCTATCTTAGGGGGTCACCTAAGGTCACTAGAAAATACAGATATTTATATTACAACTCATAACAATAGCAAAATTACAGTTATGAAGTAGCAATGAAAATAATTTTGTGGTTGGGGGGGTCACCATAATGTGAGGACATGTTTTAAAGGGTCACAGCTTTGGGAAGGTTGAGAACCACTGGTTTAGAGAGATAATTCTGGCCTAGAGGAAACAAGGTAACGAGATGAAACATGGAAAAGACGGAGAGTGGGCGCTCAAGCTTCTTTTGAATTGTATAAGTTGAAACGGCATCTCTCCATTGTTTGCTGTTTTTTGTTTGTTTGTTTGTTTTTGTTTGTTTTTTTTGTTTGTTTGTTTTTGTACAGTAGGATATGAGGTGTTCCCTTGGAAGTGGAGAGTGGGGAGACAGGGTGAAAGGTCACAATGCTGGCAAGTAGTGAGAGGAGTTAGCCTGGTGAGGAGAGTATCATAATGAAGGGGGCCCAGCTTTCCCAGCCATGTTGACTAGAGTAAGTGGTGTTATCATAGCTTGCTGTTTTACAATAGCTGTCTCTATAGTTTAAAACAAAATTGTTCACTAGTTATAAATCACTGCTAGACACGGTAAAAATAGGAAGATGAGTAAAATCCAGAATCTGTATAAAGGATTCATCTGTTGCATATCAGCTGTAATAGCTTGACCTAGTTTAGTACCATGTCAACAGCTCAGGAGGATGGTTCTACTTCTGACACTGCCTCTCTGGGCTGTTAGATGTAGGGTGTGTCAGCCATCATGTCTGGTAGCTACTTGAGGCTGACTCACCCTGAGAGTCCAGAGAGTTGACAGGGAGAACTAGACAATGGCATAATAGAATCTCGAGGGCAATGACCACTGGGAGTTCCTGGAACTCCTTGACAATGGTCTTTAATGCTAATTGAATTGTTTATAGTCAGTTTTTCCCACAAGGGTGCAAGGTCAAACAGCAGCTTTGTCTTAGTCACTGCTGATTGTCTGATATTTTAAAGGGTCCCTAGGTAAATGTCTGTGGTGTGTGTTTGTGTGTATGTGTGTGTGTTGCACACACATAGATATGTATATTATAAAGGCCAGAACTGATGCCAGATATTTTTCTAGAAAGCTTTCCATCTTCTGAGAGAAGCTCTCACTGAACTGGTACTCATTGGTTGACTAGACTGACTGACCAGGAAGCTCTGAAGAGCCACCTGTCCCTGACCACACCCACACATGTTTTGGTTATAGACACACATGATTATTCCTGGGATTTTTATGGGCATGCTAGGGTTCTTATGCTTGTACATCAGGCCAACCAAACTATCCTCCATTCTCTTTTGGTAAATCTTCATTATACTTACCAATTGAACCATCGCCTCAATCCCTCTAAGTAAGTTCCTAATGACTACAGAGATGACTTAGCAGTTAAGAACATTTGTCTCTCTTGCAGAGGACCAGGGTTGAGTTCCTAGCACCCACATAAATGGCTCACAACCATATAACTCCAGTTCCAGGGGATCTGTTATCCTCTTCTGAATTTTGTGGGCACTGCATGAACATACAGATAGGTATAAATAAAAATAAAATTAAAAAATTTATATAGCTCAGTTTAATTTAAAAATAAGTAAAGTTATGCCGGGCGGTGGTGGCGCACACCTTTAATCCCAGCACTTGGGAGGCAGAGGCAGGCGGATTTCTGAGTTCGAGGCCAGCCTGGTCTACAGAGTGAGTTCCAGGACAGCCAGGGCTACACAGAGAAACCCTGTCTTGAAAAACCAAAAAAAAAAAAGAAAGAAAGAAAGAAAGAAAGAAAGAAAGAAAGAAAGAAAGAAAGAAAGAAAAGAAGTAAAGTTAAACAGGACATACACAAAGGCCAGCACGTGTGTCCGCTGTATACCTGTCTAGAATGATCCTAAATGGAACCAAAGGAGTTTCCCATTCATCTTATTTTTGATCTTTTCCTGTGTACACAGACACAGAAAAGGCACTAGAAACTTTTATTCTGTATTCTTCTTTAGGATCCAGCCCTGATGGAGGCTGAGGAGCCTGAACATGGAGTCTCCATACCCATCTCTGACATAGAAGAATTTAGAGCTATCTCTGAAGGTATCATGAGGAGCAGTCAGATCCCTGCCTTGGATCCGGAAGCTCAAGAAGGCCAAGAGCCATCCTATAAGTGGACAGATGGACACAGACCCTTGATGGACCAGTCAAAAGTGTTCAGGGACATGAGTGACCATACACCTAATAGTATGGCAATTTTCTTTAAGAAAGAATCTTCAGATGTGGAGACAAGCCAGGAAATTCTTTTGGCTGAGGCCTGTGACCCTCCAGACAAGCAGGAAGCTGTAACCCAGAGCCTTAAAGACAGACTGTCAAGAGCAATAGCTGCTCCTGAGTTCCTGGCCTGTGCTGTCCAGAAAGAATGGCTAGACATACCCAGCAAACTAGACAGCAGACTGGAGGCAGAATTGCAGCCTGAACTTATGTCTTTGACGTTGGCAGCAAGCAAAGAGAAAGAAGAGGAAGAAACCTCCCCAGACACCTCAACCCCTAGAGGATTTTGGCCTCCCTGTAAAAATCACCCCGATGAGGCTGACCAGACTGAGGACAGTGGATGTGAACTGCTTAGTCAGGGGAAACAGCTGCAGTTGGAGGAGACGCAAGAAAATCAAGGGCAAGAAGGCTTCCTCCAACCTCAGGAAATCCAGGAGGAGCAGCAGGGACAGGAAGTAGAAATTCAGGAGGAAGGAACTCTGAGTGAAGACATTTGTTTTGGTGGGCTCCCGGGAGAGCAGGAAGAGGTGGAAGAGGAGTTTAATGGCAATGAGGAAGAACAGAAGCAGGAACAGATCCAAAACTATATGCTACTTGGGGGACAACAGGAAAGTGGGGGGCTTGGTGGAGAATTAGAAGGTCTGAATTACCGTGAGAGGGGCCAAGAGGACAGGGAAAGGAGTGTTTGGGGTCAGAGAGATTCAGAAGAGGAGGGACAGGACCACGAATTAAGGGAGGAAGAGAGGAGGATAGCCACTCAGTATGCAGAGAACCAAAGGTTAGTAGAGAAATCAGAGGATGTAAGGAGAAAGCAGGAAGATCATGATCAAACAGTAAGAGTGATGCCTGTAGGGGACCAGAAGGAGGTTGTAGACTCAGGTGACAGGGTGCGAGGAAATTTGGAAAGTGTTCAGGCAGCAGTGGAAGGGACCAGACCAGGAGAGGACAGCAAGCCTTGTCTTCCGATGGCTTCGGTAGCTCCTGAGGTTTTCTCCCCAGGTACATTGTTCCCAGGTATTACTTCCTCTGTGGCTGATATTCCACAGATTCAGGGGGAGCCTGTGCCTGAGGAACTGGCCCTCCAAGCTCCTGCACTGGAGCCAACAGAAATGTCTCACCAACCCATTTCTCCAGCTGCCTCTTTTGCTCCTCAAGAATCCCTTGATAATAGGACTCACAACAGCCAGCAAGAAGAATTCAGGCTAAGGAAGGGGCCTGAGGTTGTCTCTGCTAGTACATCTGTGGCTCCTTCAGGGACACCAGATTTAACTCCTTTCACATCTCCCAGTGTTTTCCCCAGCACTGCCACCTTCTCAGCTGTTAGCTCTTCAGTTATCCTTCCTGAGAAGGAGGCCCTAGCAGCCTCTGTCTCAGCTGACACTCCACCTCGTGGATCATGTGAGACTCCTCCACTACCTGCAAAATCTTCCAGAGACCCACATGCCACCTCTGACACAGCCAACCCTCACAGCCCTCTTAGTAGCTACACTGGAGTCACCCAACATCTAAGAAGCAACTCGTTCCCAGGCTCTCATAGGACAGAGCAGACTCCAGACTCTATGGGAATGTCACTCTCATTCTCTCATTTGGAATTACCTCAGAGGCTCCCCAACCCAGCCATCTATGGCTCTCTGATCCCAAGAAGAAACAGAAGAAGTAGGGATGGGATCGTCTTTTCAGAATCCTCTACTGATTTTTTTGCTCTGAAACAGGACTCTGAAGAATTCACTTCAAATCCAGAGAGACCCAGCAATCCACATGGTAGTCAGCCATGGGCCTCCCCACAGAACTCAGCCTTTGCCATAGGCTCTCCTGCAAATGTTTCTTCTCCACCCACTGTCCCCATGGACATGACGATACCTGAAGCTTTGCCCCCTCCTCCCCCAGAGAAGAGACATAGCTACAGTCACAGAGTGGAGAGAGATGGCCTTCTTCATGCAGTAGCCCCTACACTGAAGCGGCATAGTCATCCTCCTCCATTGGCCCTAAGTTCAGGGCTCCATAGATCTTCTAAAGGCTCATTTCCCCTAGTTCCTGACTCCACTGTGGCAAGGCAGCACCGCCCTCTGCCATCTACCCCAGAAAGCCCCCCCCATACACAGACCTCCATCCCCTCCAGACTGAGATACAACAAACCGTTACCCCCAACTCCTGATATGCCTGAGTTCTGCCGTTCCTCCGCCCCTTCCTCTAATATCTCAAGGATGTACAGGCCTCTACCCCCAGTCCCCATCATAGATCCTTCTCAACCACCTCCACTACCCCCTAAATCCAGGGGGAGAAGCAGGAGTGTCCAGGGAGGAGTTATACATTCAGGAGGTCAAGCCAAACCAAGACCTACTAGTCAAGATTGGACAGTTTCTCTCTCTGTTGGACGGACCTCCTGGCCCCCAGCCACAGGCAAATCAACGGAATCTCTGCCTGCCACCAATAGGTGTAATAGTGAAGTATCCCCTGGCCTGGCTTTCAGCAACATGACAAACCTTCTCAGTCCCTCTTCTCCTACTACTCCTTGGAGTCCAGAGCTTCAGAGACCTTCCAGTAAGGATGAGTCAGGGCTCCCTGAAGGGTCTGAGCCTCCAGTGAGAGGATCATTTAGAAGATCAGCCCCTCAGGAGGAATTTGATAATACAAGGAGGTCAGCTTTAGGCTTAAGAAAGAAGTCAGAAAAACCCATCCACTCCCAACTGGAGAAGGCATCCAGCTGGCCCCACAGACGGGACTCAGCAAGAACATCAGAGAGTAGCAGTGATCAGATTGTTCTGGGCCAGGTATCCAATAAGCAAAAGGGCTGGAACCGGCAAGGCCTGCGTAGACCTTCAATTTTGCCTGAGAGCTCTTCAGGTGAGTATGGAGCAGAGATGATATTACCATGTATGTTAGACAACGCTTTTTATTCTATGTCTTCCCTCTGCAGGGTCTCTACTGCTCTCTCTGCAGCTTCATTCTCCTGCATCACCTACATCGACTCAGAAACTCATGACTCACCATGATCCCGTTGAATGTTCTCCCTTCCTTTTTCCCTTTTCAGCTCCTGCTTCCTCTGAAGCCCTCCTCTTTCTGAAGTTGCCAGATTCCCTCCATTGCTATACCTTTTGAAAATTTTAACGTACCCTTTCTTTGTGCATTTCCCATCTTGCCTGAAGGGTGGAGGCATCGCTAATATATCTTCTGTAATTCCTATCCTGACATGAGGGCCAGGGACACAGTGGGTACTGGGCTTTAGAATACCTTTAGTATTGTCTTCCAGATTCCAGTAGAACTGTCTTCCCTTTGCTTAGCTGTGGCTCCTGCTCATCCTGTCACCTACTCTAAATGTCCCTGTTGTGCCACCCATTTCGTGTTTCAGATTTACGAACTCCAGCTGTGGGAAGACTTCCTGGCTCTTCAGAGTCTGTTGTTTTTCGGTGAGTTGCCCTGTCTCCTCACTGACTCAACTGTACTGTCTTCATTTATGATACTAAGATTTCCATAAGAATTCAGTGGATAAAGATCCTGGAACCCAGAATTGCTGATACTTCTATGTCTAAAAATTTAAGAGAGGAAGAAAGAGGCACCAGGATTGCAGGAAAGGAAGGTGTTTGTACCTACCCAGTTCTGCCTGCTGTGTCTGAGTCCCCTGACGTCCTCCTAAGGCATATGGCTATATAGCAGTCTCCTTCCACATACTATTCAAAAGACCCCTGAGTTACAAAATAGGGTCATTGTTTGAGATGCCCCACTGCATTTATAAGTTCTCCCTAAGTCCTCAGGATCTCCCCTGGACTATGAGATAAGAGAGAAAGGTTGAATGGAAGGACCCTTGATGGAGATAGGCTGAAGCAACTTTCCTTCAGTCCTGACATCCCAGCATGTATATGGAAGGTTAGAGATTTTAAATCTAAAGTCACTCAGGGGTCTGCTGTCTCACAGTCAGTAAACACCTCAAAGCCTGCCTACTCCACAGGGAGAAGAAACCGAAGGAGGGAATGGGAGGTTTTTCAAGACGTTGCTCCAAGCTCTACAACTCCTGTGAGTACTTTAAAACAGATCTATAGACTTGTGTGTGCTTTCTGCTTAAAATGGGACAGGGAATCATGACTGCCAGCAATTGAGTGGTGGTGTCCAGAGAAAGGATTGCCAGAGGTCAGCTGTAGATGACAGTTTCTGGCAGTGAGCTTTACTCTGTTTTCTCAGGATTTTCTTTTTTTCCCACTCATCCTCACCCACAGCCCAGCTACTTTATCAGGAGTACAGTGATGTTGTTCTGAACAAGGAGATTCAGAGCCAGCAGCGGCCGGACAGCCTGGCCGAGCCACCTGGGATCTCTTCCCCACGGCATCGTCGAAAGGCACTGGTCTCTTCAGACTCCTACCTACAGCGCCTCTCCATGGCCTCCAGTGGCTCCCTCTGGCAGGAAATCCCTGTGGTGCGCAATAGCACAGTGCTGCTCTCCATGACCCACGAAGATCAAAAACTTCAAGAGGTATCACCAAGGCAGGGCAAGGGAAAGCAGTGGGGAAAAAAGTCATATTCGCTAATGTTTTAATCTCCGCCTCACCTCTGCCACCAAGGGCAGGCTGTCCTCACCCCACACTCACCTGTATATATAGTGACTGTTCACTGCCACACTAAAGAATATGAGCTGCTCTCAGAATTTAGCATCGTCCCTTCTTCCCTCGCTCATGCATGTGCCATCTACTCTTTCCTGTACTGGCTTGGACTCATACAGAGTACCATACCTCAGAATATGTTGAGGGGGGCGTGGGGGTAATTTCATCGGTGAGAATCTCCTCTCGGCATCTACCAGTGTTTCAGACAAGCCATATATTCTTCTGTGCTGGCTTCTTTGAAGAGGACAACTGGAAGTTGTCCTTTTATTTTTTGATTTCACTTAGGCTATATATATCCCTGCTTGGTCATCACCCCCAGGATTAAGACTTCAGGAGACATTGCTTGTCTGGTTCTAAACAGAGACCATTAGTAAGTTTTCCATGGGCAGATTCTCTTTTCAGATTTGTCTGAAGGAGGAGGTAGAACTTTTCTTCTCAGGGAGAAAATAAGACACAGTGGGATAGAGTAATACCTAAGTAATTGGTTATAACAATGATGGAGACACAATGCCTTTGTTAATATATGTTGCTTGACTTTGGCCAAATCGCTTGCTGTCTCTAAGCCATTTGTAAAACAGCTACAGAGAGTTACTGAGAGCACAAGAAAGATGAATGGTTACTACAGAACAGTCAGTCGGAGAATATTGACTATTTGAATGTAGGTGATGGAGGCCTGGGCTTCAACTAGTGAGATAATCTTGGATAAGCTATATAATTTAACTGCACGTTTTAAAATACAGGTGTTTAGAAGATCACTAACCTGCCCTGTGTTTATTAGTCAAATAGTGGGAAGATGAACTCTCTGAATCTTCAGCAAGCTAGGAAGTCACAAAGCTTCTGATCCTAGTCCTGATCCTTCTTGTCGTTGCAAGAAGACAGACCTCTCTATCACCACCTTATACATACATATTCATTTCATAAAATAACATCTTGGGAATCTGCAGAGTTCCTTCGCAGACTTTTATTCCTTTTGAAAATCGTGTTTTCTGAAGTATGTTTGTGGTGGTGGGGTGCTCAGTCTATCTATACAAGAAGACAAAACAATAACAACAAAAATCCTAAGTTTCAGAAGGTTAAGTGAGCCACTTTAAGCCATGTGGTCTTTGATGGTTATGTTGAGAATAAGCCTGCAATATCATGGTTTGGAGTTGTATAGAAAATTCAACTGTATGGTTGGCTATTTCAATGATCAGAGGGGATGCCTATTTTCCTCTCTATTTTTCCAAGTGGCCTGAGTTACCATGATAAGGAAAAGGAGTCCACTGCTCATGTCTATGAGTCATTGCGCCCCCTGCTGGAGCCTCCATGAATAGTCATAAGTGCTGGTTTTTCCTTTTAAACTGTAACTGTAGCATCTTCTCTGACATGTCCTGCTTCTTTTTATTCCCATCTCTCCTCAGACATCAAATTGAGCTTGTCACCTTCCTCTCTCCGTGACTCAGAGCTCTCTGGCTTAGTCCATGATTCCGTCATCTAGCCAGTTGCCTAATCAAAAGCAGGGTGTTGGCTTTGGCTCCTCCTCTTCACATCGCACTTCTAGCAAATAAGCAACGTCTTCCAAGTCATGTCTGATGACTAGCATAGTCCACTTTTCCACATGCCTATGAGTGACAACCCTTCCCCTCCCATCCAGACATGTCACCCAGTTTTTCAGCATGGCTCTTTCCTCTTCTGGCCTTTTTAACACATTGCTCAAAGGTGTTCTTATTAAAAAAAAAAAAAATAGAAAACCAAAAAATGACTCAGCTAATTCCGGAACCTTTTTACGTTTTCACATCTCTTTAAGCTTAGGTTGTGCTGCGTTGTTCACATGGTCCACTAGCTGTCATGCCTCATTCCTACGTGTCCCTCCGGCTTCAGTTTCCTTTTTTCTTTTCTTTAAAATGAAAGTTCTACAAGAGCTAAACTTATTTGTTTCTTTTCTAAAAGTAAACTTCGTTGTGTTTAAAAATATGAACCACCTTATTATGAGGTCTACCATAGTCTATTTGTTGGTAACATTTTTACCAACAAATGTGGTAAATCAAGATATCTGTGGCCGGGCAGTGGTGGTATACGCCTTTAATCCCAGCACTTGGGAGGCAGAGGCAGGCAGATTTCTGAGTTCGAGGCCAGCCTGGTCTACAGAGTAAGTTCCAGGACAGCCAGGACTACACAGAGAAACCCTGTCTCGAAAAAACAAAAAAACAAAAAAAAAAACAAAAAACAAAAAAAACTGTGATATCACAGTTATTTGTACATGAGTATGAATATATCTTTAAGTTTCTTGAGAACATAATGGGCTCTGATCATATTATTCAGTCTCTAAGTTAAATCTGGCATTCTCAAATATGCCCTCCTACACTAAGTATTATTACTATAACTGATGAAAAGATGTAGCTAAGTCAGTGCTCAACTCTAAAACGTTGTCCAGCAGCTTCCATCTACCAGACAGTTCATAAAAGTAGTCCTTAATCTTCCTCTTTTTCCATCTTCTAGGCCAAGTTTGAGCTGATCGTGTCAGAGGCATCTTACCTGCGCAGTCTAAACATAGCCGTGGATCATTTCCAACATTCAGCCCAGCTGCGGGCCACCCTGTCCAACCAGGATCATCAATGGCTCTTCTCTCGTTTGCAGGATGTACGAGATGTCAGCACCACGTGAGACTTCTTCCAAACTCCCTTCTGTCAAGCTTGCTATGCTTAGCCATTGAGGTTTCAGCTGCTTTTGTCCCACTTAGAAAACTTCTCTTTGTCAGAGTCTCAGATAAAAGTGAGCCTGGGTTCCCTCCATGATTCCTTCAGGGGTAGGAAGGGGGATAGGAAGAACATAGAAGAGGAGGGAGTGTGGAAGGTCACAGGTCTATTAATATAGATGAGTGACAAGTGCTTCCTGGCTTGAGAGTTTGCCTACTTTCTGGGTGTGTACTGCAGTGGACACAAGCTATTGAGAATCACTGAATGAATGGCAAACCAGAAGAAAAGAAGAAAAATAAAGAGAATAGTAGAATTCTATTTAAGTTACATCAGAAATAAACTAGTTACAATCTAGGGGAGGATGGTACTGCATGGCCAGGGCACAGAGCTAAGCAGAGTCAGAAGTTAGTGATTCATGGAATTAGTTGCATGCTCAGAATATACGGGACTGAGACGGATGCTGGGCTGAGGGCCCAGTAGCTCATGAGACTGTTTAAATACTACACAGGTTCCTTTCAGACCTAGAAGAAAACTTTGAGAACAACATCTTCTCCTTCCAAGTGTGTGATGTTGTCTTGAATCATGCCACAGACTTCCACCGAGTCTACCTGCCTTATGTCACCAACCAGACCTATCAGGAACGCACCTTCCAAAGTCTAATGTATGAATGATCCCTCTCCATTCCCTTAGTGGACATTGCAGTGACCTTGACTCAATCCCCAGCCCAGAGCCCTCTCCCATGAGTATATGTTCTTGTGCCCACTATGTCATCTGCCCCCTAAGTCTCAGCCCATTCCCCATATCAGGTCCTCTCTGCCATCATATCCAGACTGTGTATGTGGGCTCTTCCCATTCTTTCCTGATCCCAGATCCTCCACTATCTCCCACTTCCCCCACGTTCACTGAGCCCCCTTTACTCTCTGTCTCCCTTCTCACCTGAGGCTTGCTCCGTACAGGAATAGCAACAACAGTTTCCGAGAGGTCTTGGAGAAGCTGGAGAGTGACCCCATCTGCCAACGCCTGTCTCTCAAGTCCTTTCTGATACTGCCCTTCCAACGCATCACACGTCTCAAGTTGCTGCTCCAGGTATGACGGATACTTCTTTGGTCCAATTCCCTTGACTCAAAGACATGATCGTGGAAAGTTTGGAGGCAAAAAGTCATCCATTCATTTGTGAAGTTTCCACAACATGTGGAGGATGTGAACAGTTTCCCAACTGTCCACATCATCTTTCTCAGAAATCGTTGCTTTTGGAACTATGTCCCTGACTTGTCCTTCCTCCCATCTGGCTCTTGTCCACTATTTGTTCCACAGAACATTCTGAAGAGAACCCAGCCTGGCTCCTCAGAAGAGGCAGAGGCCACAAAGGCACACCATGCCCTAGAGAAGGTAGGTAGCCATCATATCAAATAATCTATAAGGGATATATAACTATTCAGGGATTAGTCTTCCCTCTTCCCCCAATACTCATGACTGAGAAGAGCAAGGGAGATGGGACCATACTAAAGGGAGAGCTCAGCCACCTTCTGGCATCTACCAAACGTATTTCTTCACATTCCAAATCTAGCAACTATGTTCCTGATACCACAGTCCCTCATCCCAGTATGTTCTCTCAGGTCACGTAAAGTATTTATTTCATCATCCCAGTACATCACTTTCATGCTGCTTTACACAATTCCAGCCTGGTAGAAAAGACCGAGCTTTTCAGGCATCCTTCCAGGTGGCCTTAAAGAGGACTTAGGGGCAAGACCCTAACACAGTAATCTTCCCCTTTCTTTTCCCTGCTCCATTCACAGCTGATCCGAGACTGCAACAGCAATGTGCAGAGGATGCGGCGGACAGAGGAGCTCATCTACCTGAGCCAGAAGATTGAGTTTGAGTGCAAAGTGAGCGGTCCCTGCACACCTCCCTGCCTATGCATCTCTTTAGCATGTCATACAGAGCACCCTTTAACACAGTCATCCAGCCTCCAGTGGTTCTACCTCTCCTTCTGTCCATTTCTGGAATATGCAAATGATCACTTCATTCCACAAGACATGTTGATAGGTGGAGGCATCGAATTACATGTGGATTTTATTACATATTGGTGTAAAAGTAGAGGATGCTGGTCTATAGATATAGCTGTGTGTATGTGCATAAGGAAGTGGTCAAGATAATCAGAAAAGAGGGAGGGGCAGTAGTTACTAGAGAAGGAGGAGGAGCACCCAACAAATGGATAGAAGCAATTTCCCAGAATAAGGATATATAAAAATTTAGGTGTGAGGAATGCCTGACTCACTTATTTTATCAGATCACTTTCACCCTAACCAAAGTAACATGCCAGAAACCTCAAAATCTCTTGTTCAAACAAACGTGAAATTGACTTTCAACACTGAAATTGCAGTGCATTACAGATCACATCATTACTTCCCTAAAAGAGAACAGAAGTCCTTCTCTAAGTTTTCCAGGAGCTCTTTACCAGGCCCCAGCTCGAGGCAAACCCCACCTAAAATCCTTCTCCTCAACTCCAGCCCAATTCTGATCCTGCCTGTTTTGGCTCTGACCATCATTAAGGAAAGAAGCAGATAACATAACTGCCCCGAGCTTTGGTTTCCATGATGCTGTGTTGTGCCCTGACTGTTCATTGACATGTTCTGCGTGGGCTCACAGACTTCTGCCCCCACATCATCTCTTGTTAGATCAGAGTCACCTTCCTTTGAGGATGTATCTATATGAGTACAGTGTAGTTGGGGTTCCAAGAGAAACAGTCTGGACGGCTTGGTTTGCAGTGGTTCTCAACCTATGGATCACAATCCCCTTGGGAAGTTGCACAGAAGATAGCCTGCATATCAGCTGTTTACATTATGATTCATAACAGTAAAATTCAAACGGTAAACAGTAAGATTCAAACAGTAAACAGTTATGAAGTAGCAACGAAATATTTTTTATGGTTGGGGGGTCACCACAACATAAGAAACTGTATTAAAGTATTGCAGCATTTGGAAGAAGGTTGAGAACCATTGCTTTAGAGCAAGAGGGAACATCTGGGATTGGTGATCGGGAGGTTGGACAGGACTGACAGGAAGCTCATGACCTGCCCCTTCTCTCTTCCTGCTCTGTAGATTTTCCCACTTATTTCACAATCTCGATGGCTGGTGAAGAGTGGGGAGCTGACGGCCCTTGAGTTCAGTGTCTCCCCAGGGCTGAAAAGGAAACTGACCACTCGTCCAGTCCACCTACATCTCTTCAATGACTGCCTGTTGCTGTCTCGGCCCCGAGAGTCAGTGGCTGGAATGGGAGGCCAGGGCATACAAGAGAATGAGATAGGACCAGAGGGACACCAAATGACCTGCTGCCAAGGAATCCCTTTTTAGTCAGACAACTCACAGTCTGAGTCATGAGTCAGCTTAGAGAACAGAAGTGGGAATAGTGTCACCAAACCCGTCCCATGCTATAGACATGAGTAGACTGCAGTAAACTAAGTTTATTTATGGCTTCCTTGGCTTGTGCCCAGCATAATAGCCAATACAGCTATTTGACTAATTTCAGAGCTGAAACCCTGGTCATTAGGACCTCATAAAGTTAATATTGGTTCTTATCTCTTTAACTCCTTAAAGTAGTGAATATCACTCCTGCAGTAAATAGTTGGTTGAGACATTGAGGCTATTCTATTCAGCACAAGTTCAAGCCCTCATATGGTTTTTATATGAATATAGTCTGTAGAAGCTAAGGGCAGGAAGTTTCAATCCAAGACTAGAGGGTGAGGGTGGATGAAGTACCAAAACTATAGACTCAGACGTAAAAGATTTCTATCTTGCAGGGGTAGTCGGTTCCTGGTATTTGACCATGCTCCGTTCTCGTCCATCCGAGGGGAGAAGTGTGAAATGAAGCTGGATGGACCTCACAAAAACCTCTTCCGTCTCTTTCTCCTGCATAACGCACAAGGCACCCAAGCTGAATTCCTCTTCCGCACTGAGACTCAGTGAGCCTGGGCTGGGCATAGGAGTTGGGGGTGGGGTGTCCTTGCACGGGAACATCCAGACCATGACTCAGCATTTCTGGGGTCATTCGTAGAAACAAGAACCTAGAGCTAAGTGATAACTTGAAAAAGATTCAGTGTGGGGTGAAGGTATGAAGTTGCCACCACAGTTGAACATCTGTTTTATAGCTTGTACTCAAAAAGCACAAGGTCTGTGCGACGTAAGGGAGCTGAGTTGGCATGGAATGAGCCGAGAATTGGATTACTGTCTTTGTGAGTGGTCAGCTCATCTGTGTAACCCAGCGCCAAGGCTGGTGGGCACTTATGTTAATAAAAAACACCTTGTATGACATCTGATTTTCCTCTGTCTCCTAGCTTCATCCTCTGTTTAGCAGAAATCTATAGTGTTAAGAAATACGAGTTGTAATCTTTCTGATGATAATAACAAATCCACATATATCATACAAATTTTGAGAGCTAAAATAACTGTAGAATCTGGCGCACCAGTATAGCTACTAAAGAAAGAACATCCAGTAGCTTTCCTGGCGCTATAAGAGACAACAGGAAGAGCTTCTCTGTAAGATTATTAAACACATCTGGGCTTAAGGCTCCATGTGATACAGATGCTTTTCAGATTGATTTTGGAAGACATTTCAAGTGGGATCAATACTTTCTATCTCTACTCATGTAACAGAGAAGGTAGTGTGCATGGGTTTGTATTCTGGATTTCACCCAAGACAAATAACCAGAAGTAGATTTGTATTCTTTTGTAGAGATTTGGGTAGCATCCTTTTGGAAAAGTGAAAGTGCCATTCTCAGTAACCAAAGACCACTGAGAAGCAGAGGATAATACAGGCCAAGATTACATTATACAACAACAATGACTTGGCTTAATTAGTATCAAATAGTAATTTTCAACTTAGATATTTGATTGAAAGGAGGTGAGTGACGATCAAGAGCCCTGCGAAGTTGTCATGTCTAAACAGATGAGTGATCTGTTTGGTATGATTTCCAGACTGGAAAATGTTCATTTGTATGACTGACAGTTCGCCTTATGACTCTCCAAGATATGCCTGGAGGGAGAAAGGAAGGATAAACTCGATCCACTAATGTATAGTGCAAGATCATACTGTGTTTCCAACCAGGCAGGATCCCATTGCCTTTTAGGAGTCATTAGATTAGCCAAGTCCTTCCTGTAGCCCTCTGCCTTCCCCACCATCGGCCCTCAGCCTATGTGCCCCTAGACTGTAACTGAGGCTAAGACTTTCCTTTGTTTTTTTCAGAAGTGAAAAGCTTCGGTGGATCTCAGCCTTAGCCATGCCCAGAGAGGAATTGGACCTACTTGAGTGTTACGGTGAGTAAGGATATAACAGCGAACATGGCAGTGTCTGTAGTCTCCTTTGGATGAAGGGTAGTGTGCTGTGTGGTAACTCTAAAAGCCTTCTATTTATTGCTTTTCCTTAGAATTTCATGGTAGATTGCTGGAGGCAGAAGCTTAAATACTTCGGTTGTTAACAACCGTCCTTGTGGCAGTACCTTTCCTTGAGCATTCACTGCGTTAGGCAAATGTTTGTTCTTTGTGAAATATATATTCCTTTAAGTCTTATCTGCTGTGATTCTGACTTAATTTTACCAATTGAAGATGTAAGAGGGAAACAAGGGGGGGTGCTCTGGCTGTAATGGGGATGGCAAAAAAGCTACACAGATTTGGCCTGACTGCAGCCGGATAGCTAAGTCTGCCTACTCAGAGCACACAGGAGTAGCCACAGCCCAGAGGGTATCAAAGGAACACTAGGATTTTGTGGGAAACAAGAACAAAAGAGTGTAATGAACCTGAGAAAGGGATCTAAAAGACTCCGTGCTGTTTACGTGCTGTGCAGTTCAGTAGTTAGCTTAGTTTGTGGTGGTAGAGAGGGTAGCAAGGAACTACTTCACTTACAGCATTTCACTTCTGTGGATGGAAGATGAGCCTTAGAAAAAAGAAGTACACTGCTAATAATGTAACATTCATTCTACTTATTTTCTGCAAAATCAGTGCACAGAAGTAAAGTGTAAAGACAAATCCATCTAAGATAGATTGCTTCTAGAATAGGCGTATTCTAAACTTTGTTATCTGGAATTAATTACAATCCATGGAAAGCTGCCCAGCTCTTAAGAGAGCTTGTAGAATTTCCTCATGTATCATTGATCAATAATCATCTTGATCAATTACAGATGAGGAAACTGAAGCCATAAGGGAGGGAGGGCACATAAGCCATCCATAAAGTTTAATGGTAGAAGGCTATTTTTAAAGGCATGGGATCCTTTATCTGGTACAAGGAAGAAAATGATGCAAGATTCATAGACTTCAATTTTGAATCTTATTGGGAGAGCTGTGAATTAAGTTGTGAGTTCTATGCTGAACATACTGGCAACCACTTGAAGTTTCTGATTGTGACGATGCAATGTCACAGATCAAGTGCCAAAATTCTCATGTGCCGTCTTTGGTCCCATTAGTAGCCTTTATTACCAGCCCCCATCTGGCCTGAAAGTCTTGTGACCATTATGTAAAACTTGTGGATGTATTTATTATTAATCTTAGTAGACAATTAGCTTCACCAGCCCTAAAGCTGTTAGGTTAAGATAATGTCTCCAACCTAAAGGAGAGATGTTTCCTTTCTGCTATAACCTGCCTACCCAGGGGCCTCACCAGTGTATTGTCAATTATATTATTCATGCCTTGCTTTTGTTCTCTGACCATAGAAGTAAACTCTTCCACAGTGGAATATGTCATTCATGGCAACATGAGTCTATGCTTCCAGGTCATGGTCACTTGTATTTGGCTCGGAACATGCTACCTTTTGCTCTCTTTAGAACACACTCCACGCTTTGGACTAGCAAAGTAAAACATGCACATGGAACAGTTAGATAAGTGATACCTGGTTCCCCTTCAATAGTCAGTTCTAAAAAATTCAAACTCCACTGAAGACAGAAGGATTAGGGAATATTTCAGAAGGAAGATGGAACTTCAAGTATTCGTCATGATGATTAATTAAATGTGGTCACATGATATTTTCCAGGCATCTTCCCTAGAGAAGTAGAACTTGTAAAAGTTAGATCCCATACTGATCCTTGTGTTTCTTTACTGACATGTTTGATCCCTGGGAGATAAAGATTGTCCCAAACACCTCTTCTTTGTTGTCGTTGTTATTTGTTTCTAGCTTTTATTTTGTGGGATTTTGTTTGTTGTTTTTGTTTTTGTTGTTTTTGTTTGTATTTGTTTGTATTTTTAGACAGGGTCCCACTATGTGGCCCTGGCTGTCCTTACTGGGTAGAGCAGGCTTGTGTAGAACTCACAAAGATTCCCTTGCATCTACCTCCTAAGTGTTGGGGTTAAAAGTGTGGGCCAATGGCTTCTTTTGTCTATGATCCCACACTTGTCTCTACCTCAAGTTCTCCCACACTTCCCTCATAATTCCTCATGTGTGTCCTACACTGCTCCTAACCTTCACTCTCCTCTTCTGAAGACTGGCCACAGGTTCAGTGCCACCGCGCCTACAAGCCCCGAGAGAATGATGAGTTGGCACTAGAGAAGGCGGATGTGGTGATGGTGTCTCAGCAAAGCAGTGATGGTAAGAGGGAAGATCCCTGAGCCGGAGGTGGGCCCGCAGAGGCTGGATAGAGATATACCAGCTTTCTAAGGCTGCTGTAACAGAGTACTGAAAGCTTATTGGCTGGTAACAACAGTAATTTATTCTCTCAAGGTTGTGGGGTTGAGAAGTCCCAAGTCAAAGTGTCAATGGCTCTTCTGAAGGTTCTAGGAAGAGTCTTTACCTTGTCGCAATCTCACAGGCTTCAAAATGGCTGCATAATTCTAAGCTCTGTATACATGTCCTGCAGCTCTCTTCCTTCTGAGTGCATCTAAATTACCCCTTCTATAAAGAGACCAATTCTGACTGATTGATGGACTCCAGGGTGGCCTCAATGTAACTTCATTAATTGTATTTGGAGCAGTTTTGTCCCCAAGTTTCATTGGTGTGAAGAGACAACCATAACCAAGACAACTCTTATAAAGGAAACTTTAACTTGGGATGACTTACTGTTCCAGAGTTTCAGTCCATTATTATCGTAGCAGGAAACACGGTGGCACACAGACAGCCATTGTGCTGGAGAAGGAGCTTCGAGTTCTACATCTTGATCCACAGCAGAAGTGAATGCCACATGAGGCCTGGCTTGAGCTTCTGAGATCTCAAAGCACACTTCTTCCAACAAGGCCACACTTCCTAATAGCACCACTTCCTATGGACTTATGAGGGCCATTTTTATTCAAACTTCCACACCAAGTAAGAACAGATTTCAAGTTACCAGGGTATTAGGTTATAAATAAATACTTTGATGGGCAAAATTCAACTGATAGCAGGGAAGAAGACCAGAGACATCCATACTAGGGCAGCCATTCCATATATGCATGGCTGGACTTTTCATGGTGGAGGATCCTGGTCCATTCAGTCTCAGGATATTAATTAACTTTCATCAAAGAGGTCCAAGAAGTTAGCATGAACCCTTATCATCTAACTCTTCTTTCCTCTTACTGTATCCTGCAGGCTGGATGGAGGGTGTGAGACTCTCAGATGGGGAGCAAGGCTGGTTTCCTGTCCAACAGGTAGTGTTCATTTCAAACGCAGACGTCCGTGCTCAGAACCTCAAGGAAGCCCATCGAGTCAAGACTGCCAAACTACAGCTGGTAGAACAGCAAGTCTAAGTGTTCTTAGTGAGGAGTCTTCTGAGATCATGAACAAGCATTCCTGGAGATGGCTAGTCCTAGAAACCTGCTGCAGAAGCCTTCTAGGGACTGGGAACTTGGTCTTCTGAAAGCCCAACGATGAGCTTAGTCCCTTACACCAGTACTTCTTTGCATTTTGTGCTTGGTAGGGAATATTGAGTGACTGCACACTGGATTCTGGGATCCTTTCTTCATAGGAAAAGGGACTGTGGGGCCTGAGCCTAGGTGCTGTACTTCTGCGACCAGATGGTACTTGTACATCATCCGCTACTATAGTGCAGATTCAGAGCTGACTGGATGTAAGGTTGTGGACATATGTTACCGTATAGACATCAGCCCACTCACTGGAGGGAGGTGTTTAATTGGGATTGGCACATCAGGTGGGAAGGTAAACCTGGTGACCTCTAGAATATCTTCCAATCTGAGATTGTCCTCAATGCATGTGCCCCTGCAATCCTTGTTTCTTGGTGGCAATGTGAGGGTGGCATTCTCTCACTCTAATAAATTTGGCACTTCTCTGAGTGTTTTCTTCTCAGATTACCTAGTACTCACTGAACAAGATTTACAATGCGGAGTCTCATAAGAACTCCAGCCTATATGGCGTGTCATGAAAGCCCAAACCGGTGCACAGATTATATCGGCTACTAGCTTCTTCTAATAAGTCCTAGAAGCTTAGCCAGTAGCTCTGCTTTGTAGCTTCAGAGCGTGTAGAAGGAATTAGAAGGCACAAGTGGGTAAAATGAGAGCCCATTCATATAATTTAGCACATCCATAGGCACAGATAGGCTAATTTGGGTGGATTTGGTAAATGCTGTTCCAACCATGTAAGACTTTCCATTGTGACTTTAATTGCACTGAAGATGTGAGCCTAGGTGTTCTATCTTTGTGAAAGTCAGTGGGAAGAGTCCTAGGATCCAATTGCCATGCTGTCATGAGGTCAATTGGTCCAAATCCTTAAACAGCACCCAATCAATACACTGCAAAGTCTGAGCCAAGCAAACAGTGACTCATTTTCTGTCCCTTTTAACATTGTCTTTCTCCACTGAAGAATGTCATCATCATTGTTTTTCTTGTCTAGCATCCCACAGACAGTACACAGCATCCTTTGTCCCATCTTTGAAGCAGGATCCTTATAGTCCTTCCTTACTCGTACGATTATATTTTATGACCAGGAGGACTCAAGGGCAGAGTCCTTTGTGCATTGCAGCTTTGCACAAAGGTAAGGATGAAGCCAAATGCGTTGATAACAATTTAAGTAAAATATGTTAACAAAGTTAATAATATATGTTATTGTAACATAGTAATATTAACTCAACACACTGCTTTTTGAATCCATTCTAAAATTCAAGCTTGCTTGCCTTTTTAAAAACACACTAATATTTTATTTGAGGCCACATGAGTACTAAATCTACACTACGGATAGTTTTAGAGAAGTTGATATGTTCACAACTGACTTTAATATCGTGACATATTTTATATATGTATATAACATGTAATTTAATGACATTCATATTAATGCCTTTGATAATTACATGCTAAACTATTTGTATAAGTATCATTAGAGTACTGGCCATACAACATGAAGAGAGTTACATGCAACCTTGCAATTTCCAGGCAAGTTCTCTAGTATTTCTTTAGAGGTAAAAATAAACCATTTCTTAATGGTGGATGTGCAGGCAGCTTTGCATTATCTGATTGTTTCAGGTTATATATATATATA